TGATACCAAAAGCTAATATAAATACTGTTTATTCTACAGTTAACGCATAATTCTACATTACTATTTTACACCCTTTAATCCATTTCTTAAGGATTCCATTTCATTGTATAACTTAATGGGCTAGATTTAAATTTTAAAAGTTTTTTAATTAAGTAGTGAATAAGTTTCTCAACCATTGAACTTAAACTTATTCTATATGTGTTGAATGATTCATTTCTTTGTATAATTCAATGACTTAGATTTAAATATTGATTTTTTTTATATGTTCCTTAAAATGACATGAGAACTAAATGTCTACAGTTGTTTTTGTTCTCAGAATGATCCAAAATTGTCTTTTTGCAGATTGGCTATATGGCAATATGTGGGATTGGTTCCAGCCCGGGTTTGGAGGGTGTTGAGAGATGGAGTTTAAGTGGGAATTTGTCAACAAGGCAGATTAGTAGGCAATTTGTGGGAAGTCAAAGTCATGTGTGATGTTTCAAAGGAGAAGTTTTGGAGTTTAGTGTTCATCTTCGAGGAAGGTTGTTTCTCGAGTTGAATCTGAGGTTGTTTATGTGGAGGAAGAAGAGTCAAAGCATGTTACGAGGTTCAAGATGTCTAATTTCAAGATTCTTGATCGTGTTAGCCTTGGCCTTGCTAGGCGGGTATGTTTGTGTGAAGAATTCAAATGTTTATTGGAAATTTGATGGCGGTGTTTGATTGTTTTTGTGATTTAATTGAATTGGGGTTTCCTGTAGGTTGATAAGGTTGTTTTTAAAGCCATTGTGAATGATTCTAATAGGTTTCATTTCTTTTTTGTTTCCTTCTCATTATTTTCTTATGATATGTTAGACTAAGGCGTGAACTTATGATGTTTGTATTGTGAGATTGCAGCCCTTTGTATAACACAAGAGTTGTGCTAGAAAACTAGATGAAACGTAAGATCAATTGAGGAGTGAGTAACTTCTATTGCTACTGGTAGTGCTTTTGGGAACCAGCATGGTTATTGGTGATGGCATTCTAACTCTGTCAATGTCTGGTATTACTTCTTTCATACATTACATATATTTTCCATGTGATGTTATAGATTGATTATGGTACACAGCATAATGGTATGGTTTTGTCCATAGATCTCCATCAAATTGGATATGATATGTTTTAGATACTGCACAATGTATTAGCTTCCAAGAATTGCAGAACTTTCTCTTATTTGTCACATTTAATGCATATATAGTACGTGTTTATGTGTGTGCATGTGCATGTGTGTGTGATGGGATAAATGAGTAACATCCTTCTAATTTTTATTTTTTATTTTTTATTTTTATCATAAATGAACTTGATTAGTTCTCAAACCTAGCAGCTAACATGATGGAAAGCAGAGACCATATTCGAAAGGTAATCTTTTCTTTTACAGAGTAAAAATTTGATGATTTATGTGCCAACTTAGTGTAATCTTAAAAGCACTTACTCTTTAAGTTTTCTTAATGTCTAAATGTAGTTGAAATTTTTTTTTCTTGGTGTTTTTATGCAACCAGGCTAAATTTAGTAACCCATTATTTTCTTTAAGTATAAACTCAAACTTCTTGCAGAAAGAGTTTTTCAAATAGAAATTTTTAAGTTTTTAGTGAACTTTTGCATAGAACTTAAGTTTGGATTAAAACATATGCGGATGTTTGACAAATTCTTGGATATTCATATTCATATTTGGCTAATTTGACTAACCTCTTGACTTGAGGACGAACTAAGCTCCAGCATCAAGCTCTTTGGGGAATCAATTATGCCTATTTCATTATCAGTTTTTGATATATTCATGGAGCTTGGAACTACAGTTCCCATCTTTCTCTTTGTGCTTGATTAAGAGTTGTTCCACCTACAACAACAACCTATACACCACCTGTTGAGCAACCGGAAGTGGTCATTCCAAGTGTAGCCAGCCATTGCCCCACTCACAGGTGCTTATGGTAGCGTGTCGAATGCATCAAATTAATAACATTCCTAACCTAACTACTGAATTGTATATAGGGTAAGCAAGGGTCGATCCCACAGGGAATGATTCGATTAATTTCTATATTCTAAAACAATGAAAACAACCGAGAAATAAAATAAAACCCTAAACAATAAACATGACAACAGTAATGAAAGGGGGTTGTAGTCAAGGCAAACTAAATACAACAAAGAAATCTCTAATGGTAGAAAATATCAGGTTAAAAGCAATCAGTTCTCGATTCAAGATCCACCTGAATATGCATTGGACATGAACTAACCGTAACACTATTCTATCTCGTTATTATGGAACTACTGACCCTAGGAAACAACAAGCTCTGTTACCCAAATTTTCCCTTAATTGTCACTACTGAAATAAGCTCTCCAAGTAGATCCCAACCCTTGAACAACCTAGAATAAGCTCTCTAAGTTTAATTCAATGGCAGCCTTAAGAATTAGGAAAATAGATCAATCTAAGCAACAATCTCGTAAGCTCAAATTATTTAACTTAGGTTATGTTATTCAAGATGACAGAATGAAAACTTGTCCATAATAATCTATCATCATATGTTACTCATTGAATAGAAAAAGGACGATTACGTATTACAATTCCTAATTCTAACAGGTAAAATTCCGATTAAACAATTTAGCAGGCCAAAACTAAATCACTCAAACAAGAATCATAAACAATTAAAACAAAATAATATAAACAATTCCAATAAAAATAAGATTAAGAACAATGTTACTGAAGTCAAGTTACACCAATGACATGAATTTAGGCTTCAAAATCCCCTCGAACTGACGAAGAAAGATCAGCCACACATTTTTCGACCTAGAAAGTAAAAAAAGGGTAAAACAAAACTCCACTGCCGTCTCTCTTCCCCCTTTTTAACCTAACAACTCATCCATAAATAACATGTGTTTTCCTTAATTCTACCCCAGGAATCACGGAAATTACTTTCCTAGATCTTTGCTAAAAGATAGACTTCCAAAATTGTCAAAATCTTATCAAATATTGAAAATAGAATTCGTCTCCAGCTTGCACCAGGATTCTCACAATGAAAAGGAACTTTTCTGGGCTCGGTCACTTCATAAAAGTTGTAGTCCTGGATGTGTAGATGAATCTGGGCTTTTGAATCACCTGATTTCGATTTCTGAAGCTCCAGTTAGGCCCATTCGAAGACTCAATATTCAACCAGGAATCCTTCTACGAGTAGGATTCTAGGACTGGTTTTGCAACAACTAATGATGGCCCAAACGAACTCGTATTCTCGGCCATAATACCTTCCTGGAAAGCTTGATTTGTCTACTTTACTTTTTCTGAAGAACACTTTTGCAATTGAGAAATCTAACTCCTTGAAAAACCTGAAAAACGCAGCACTAGTCAGAATAACAAAAAATCTGGAATTTCCTAATCTTTTCTCAATTATTTCATAAAGTCTATCTAAATATGCCAAACCTACAAAATAAACTCTAATCAACTCAACTAGGCATAAAACATAACGAAAAACATAATATGGAAGGAATAAAAATATATAAATTACACTCTTATCAGCTTACTTTAAACCATTGTTTGTTTATGAAATTTCATATTATTACTGATTTATTTCTGAATGTAAATTGATTCAGTTTTGATTCCTTTATTATGCAGCCAACCTTTGGCAGTGATGGTCACAGTGAGCATTGATGGGGCTGACATTCTGAATAATTTAATGAACACTTCTTTTTTGGCGTAGACACAGTATGAATATATATATAACATTTATTTTGTTTTTCTGTGTCTTATAAACAATATTATATTACAAAGTGTTTATCAATGAAGCATATTTTATTATCAAAAAGTTGCAAACTTACATTCTTAGATAGGTTATACATGTTTTTGTTGTGGACTCTGTAGCTAGTAATAGTTTGTGTTTGTGGCGAATAGAGTTTGTGTTGGATGATGAAGAATGACAAGTTTTATTTTATTTTATTTTTGCTCATTTCATGGTGCTGGGCAGCCTTTTAAAATGGTGTAAGATTAACTGTTGGACCTCAAAGCAATGGTTATATTCCATGTAGGAACTATTAATTTTAAGAAGGGCAAAATTGTAATTTCAATTATATTATTATGTACCAAATTGTTGTAAGAAAAGTGTTGCAACTCTTCTTTTGCTTTGAAAATGGAATATATTTCTATCACTAAAATGTTCCAGTATTATTTCGTTCTTCAATTAATTAATTTATTTGTGTCAAAACCACTTTCATAAGTTACAGGACTTTCAACTTCTATGTATTAAATTCAATTAATTCAATTCCTACTTAATTACAAACTGGCCATTTCAATCTTCCATCACTCGCATTTTATCAAATTAAAAGAGAAATGTGAAAGATCTCTACTGCATACATTAATTGAATGCATGTGAATCATCCCTATTTTATCAACACCAATAAGCAGCAAACACGAGGACCAATTAACGACATCTTAAATGGCAATCATATAACGATTCTCAGCAATCTTTAAATATAAAACCCGATTAAAAAAAAAAAAAAACAATAACAAAATGTTCTATTATAATCAACATTTGATATTTTTTTGTGAAACAATAATCGTTTACAATTTCTTAACATATAAAAATTCTAATAAAATAAAAACAATATAATAAATAAACCCGTGCAACGCGCGGACGTGCCATCTAGTTTAATATAAAATCTTCAATATTTACATTGAGAGATCTCACTTATGTTACTTTTGGAAATCATATTTATTATATAAGAAATTGGTACTATAATAGTATGTAGGAATTTTTAAATACATATAATAAAACTATAAATTCCATAATTAAGACTCAAACCTCAACACATTCAGCTCTAATTTCATCTCTATTCTGTCTCTCTAATTGAGAATGCCAAATCCAACTTAAGTTATTGTTAAATTTAACAAACAAAATAAATACCATAAACCGATAATTAAGAGAAATAAATATATAAAATCATCTTAAATATATGTAGCCAATTGATTGGTTAGAATGAACCGAATTGCCAATATAGGTAGCCCATTCAACAATAAATTGTGAAGACTTTGAATTCCTGAAAATTTTTACTTCTCCACTGTAATAATACAGAGTGGGATTTGTCTTTTATGTATACCATTTACAACTCAAAATATAATATTCTGGAAAGACCCCATCTTAACATTTTGAGCATTCATGGAAGATTTCGACTCTCTTCGGAGGTTGACTGCAAGAAAGAAGTGAAACTTGCCTGGTTCTTAGCTACAAAACTGACAGTGGGAAAAAGCCGCACAATGCCACAAGCAAGTTCAGCATCCTGTTTTTGAATCCTTAATGCCACTCTTGCATATTGCTAAGAATATGTGTTCTGAATCCTTAATGCCACTCTTGCATATTGCTAAGAATATGTGTTCTGAATCCTTAATGCCACTCTTGCATATTGCTTAGAATATGTGCTCGCATTCATTCAGGTGTATTAGGGAGTCTATTTCTGAATTTGAATATTATGTCTTGACTTATCAGTATCGACGCCATCTTTCTTTGCAGATAAATTAGCCGCTGCCTTTTCTTTCATGGCTTCCTTCTCCAGTTTCTTTTTTTCAGCGTCAGCCTGCTTTTCATTCTCCTCCCGTGACTTTTTGAACATCTTAACGAAAACAACCAAGATCTGTGTCACTGCAATCATAAACAATAAAGTATCACCAATTGATAAAAACAAGTAATTGGATCGTAATCATTTTTAGCCTCAAGTTGCGAACTCAGAGCAATATAGACTGAAAATACTGAATAATTTGCCTTGAGTTCATCTATTTAGAAAAAGGAAAACAAGACCCAAGCAATTGCAGAATTATTACGTACTGTACTGAACACAAATGTTAAAAATAAAGTATCAAACCTTGCTCAAAAGGACACCGAGCCGGATCCTCCCCAAAGTACTGGGACAATGAATCTGCATTTCTCCCCTGAAACAGAATCCATTCGTAAGACAAAAACTAGTGCTAAAATGCACATTACTAAATTTTATGAAGAGCTGAAATCTTAGAGACTCACCACTTCAGAATATAAGAATATAAGTGCCCTTACATCAGCTTCAGCAGTATCAAGAAAATTTTTCAACACCTGAAAAGCAGGAAGTTCATATGTTAACGCTTACTAAAAAGCACGTCACATAGCACAAGTTTGCCAAATGATTTTGGCATGCTACTGAACATCATTATTATTTTCATCAAAAGCTCATATCAAAGGAAACAAGTTCAACGTAGAATTTGGTACAGGACTCCGCTCTTAGATGAAACAAGAAACTCTCCACATAGTGTAACTACTTAACAACACACCTCAGATCTATGATGCTTATCCAAAATAATGAAACAAGATCTGTAGAACCATGCAAGTTATTATCAACCATTAGTGAAAGAAGATAGTGTGAGATAAGAAGCAAAATATTTTAACCATGTTAAACCGTGTGGCAACCTTTTCTTTCCCCTCCCCCCCAAAAAAAAAAAAAAAAAACAACATACAAAAAGTTGTGTAACAGTGGAGAACCTTAGCCACAATAACCACAATTGTGATCACATTATTCACACAAAACCCTGTTGCATAATTGCAAACAATTTGAAGAATTAGTCATCAAGGTAAAATAAATTAGGCTATGATTGAACACAAATTATTTGAAATAGCAACTTAAGTTCAGTTTTGATGATGTTTCATTAAGCACACTTGCTAGTGGTTTCTATTTATGTTTCTATTAGTTTTGCTCAGTTCCTAACTGCCACGTTCTTCCAGTTCTACTTACATTAGTGGATTTTTGAGATTATGCTTTAGGAATTCAAACTACTTCTGAGACTGTTTGATTCTCAATTTTCTATAGATTATATTTTTAAGATATTTGCATTTTGATTATGATCGGGTTAACTTCGAATCTTAGGATTTTTAAAACCCATCTATGTAGGACTCTATGCCACTTACATGAGAATACATGGACCATGCAGAATCTACCAGTAACGTTTATATAAAGAAAGTATATGGCCACCAGTAACAATACCATTGATATCCAGTATAAAGTTCAATGGATTAACCAATAAAATTTCCTTAGAGTAATAGTGTCCTTCTTAGTGCTTCTATAACTGGAACTAAAGCAAGAATCTTTCCCAAAAGAATCACCAAATTATGAATTAACTGAAGCAAATATCTAAAAATATTGCAAGAGAGATTGTTAGCAGGTTGCTTGAATCAATCTACACAAGCCAAAATGTTAAGGGTACAGAAACTTCTTTGATTTTATTTTATTTTAACTATTTACTTATTTACTTTTTCTACATAAGATATTTTCATCAAGTGAACAGCTATCATTATTATTCTCACCTTCTGAAAGCCCACAGAAATGCCACCATCGTTTTCTGAAGCTGACAATTCTTGCTCTACCTTTTCAAGACCCTTACTTACAGCTTGCATTTCTTCAGCCAGAGTTTTCAATTGAATCTAGACATTTGATGTGAAGGTAAAGTTAATGAAAACAAGAACAAGCACTCTATTGAATCAGAGGGGCAAGGGTATTAACAAGTTAATCCTAATAAGAAAGTAGAACTAATTATACCTTCGATGCAGCTTCCAAATGAACAAGATCCTTGTCAAAATCCAGCAACTCTGGCATTTTCTCAGCAAGAAGCTAATGAAGACAAAAGGATAATAAGATATCACAAAATACCCATTCTTACATCAAAAATGCCAAATGGGAAATTCATAAATGCAATACAAAATCACCATTATGGATTTTAGCAATGCTTTTGATGAATTATGACACAAGCATTAGATTGGATTTTCCTCATAAGTATCAATTAACTGATGCAGATTTTGCCTCCCAGCAGTCAAGGAGAAAAGAACTCAATAACTATTTCATAATACCTGCTCATGATCCAGGTAAAAACTTGAAACATTATGTTTAGATATTCTACCTTGCACAAATAATGCATTAGAGTCATTTTGTTGTTTCTAGCACGAGTATCAGATAATTTGAGAAGGCTGTCCAATTTGAACCCTACAGCCGATCCTGCAATACAAATACAAAATAAGCCAATGATAATAATTTAATCAAACAGCCATCAGAAGCAAATTGAACAAGACTATCAAAGATTAAATTTTAACCAACAAAGTTGTACCCCGTGCAGTGCCTTGATTCAAAGCATTTCCCAATGTGAGGATAGTCTGCATTATCTGACGCAATTTTGCTGATTCTTTTACCTGAAAATATGAGCAAGACAGTTAGGACGCAAATAATTTTTATATCCAAAATATTACAAAAACAATAATTTTGATGTTACCTCTCTGGAAGCACCATTAATAGTATTCAGGTTTCGTCTTAAATCCTCAACCTTTACAAAATCATGAAATTAAGCACCAAATACCGTCAATAACAATAGTATGCAGGATTAAATATACAAACTGCCTGGAAGTATACCTGACTACAAAAAGTTATTTTAAAGGAAAAAACTCGTAACTTGGCTTCTACCCGCGGAACCTTCATCAACTCCATGAAGAACTGAAACATTATGTGATGAAAAGTATATTAGAATCAAATAAAAGAACCTGCATATATTCAAAATAATTGCATAAGTTATGTTTTAAAAACTGGACCAGCCTAATCAAGTCAACCAGACAACTGGAGAACCAATCCACACATCAATCAGAGTAAACCTTCAAATCCTTACTAAATGTTCCCAACAGGCCAATCAAGTCAAACAGAAAAATCCACAAACCAGTCAAGGTAGCCCTTACTGAATTGACCATTTGTGAACCTGCCAACCCATCTGGGGTCTTAATAGCCAACGTCTGATCTAAGAACTAAGATCCATCCATATAACAAAAAAAAAAAAATGACACTTTTGCGAGCTTTTGCTCCTACTGATACATAAATAAACACCTATTAACATCTCTCTCTCTCATACTCGAAGATCATATGTAAATTTGATGGGTGAAACTATTTTTAAGACATAAGGCCTCTGAACAAACCTGTTCACACTTTCCAAGCATTTCCTTGTTACCTGAATAATTCTGAAAATAGAAACAATAACATGTAAGATATAAAAACAGAAACATATTACTTACTCTGTAAAAGGATCTACATGAACATATAGGATTACCTTCAGCATTTCCATTTCTTCCTTAGTGGGACAGAATTTGATTAGGTTCTCAACCTGATCAATATCTAGAGCAGAAGAATCCAAAGCTAGAACTGCACTCTGGAAACGCAAACAAGACAAATCAAGGAACATCAATTTCAAGAGTAAAATGTTCAAAAATCATATATGAGAGGGAAGACAAAATATTTTTTTTAGAGAGACACAGAGAGAGAGAGAGAGAGAGAGAGAAAGCAAAATTAATTTTAGGTTCAAAGAATACAGTCTGTTTTATTGCACAAAAAAAATATAGGCAACCACTAATTTAGTCCCCAAACTAATAACAGGGAATTCTCAACCACTTCTACCAAATATTGATCTTTAGCTCATGAATATCATTGCTTACCAGATAAATACCACAAAAATATGAAGCCTGATAATTGTCACAAAATGGAAAAGAAAGTAATAGAATAGTAAAAATCAACATCAATATCGTGTTTTTGTATATTACTAAAGAGAATCACAAAGAAACAAGGCAAGGCAACACACTCCCTAGCTCCTAAGTGAACAATTACATAGGACTAGAAATAAGAAATCAAAGATACAGTACTAGCAAAGCCTTAAAGAAATAGCTCCAACCTCCAAAACCTCTCACATCACACTGTTACTAATAACTCCAGAGGAGATCAACATCCCTAACCAGTAAAATGATCAACACCAAAAGGTATCCCCAACATCAGCACTCCATACATTCATCACTTCCACATCCCCAAACAATTACGAACCATTCCAACCAGTATGCAACATGTTGGTTGTTGTAGTATAACTTATATTCATTTGAATTAATGCACCATCTTCGACAGTCTAAATACAAATAGCTACAGCTACTTATGTACATAAGAAGCAAGACTTAATTGCCTCAGAGGGATCAGAAACCTCTTATGTACTATAGCCCACCCCAGCTCTTGAATTAGAAACCTCTGTTGTATGGTGTACCAAAGCCACACCTCAAACCATGCCAAAGCAACAAAATGGTATTAAATCAACTTGCACAACAAGAACAAGCGAGATTGCAAAATATAAATCTTTAGAATATAAATTTCTGAGATATCAGACATCACAACTGGCCATCCCTGACGTTCTCTTTCAAGAAAGACAAGTGACAGAAAACCTGAACTGAAACCAGTAAAATCTAGAAACTGGAGAGAATATCAGTGCTATCTTGTAGCACTTTGGGATACTATAAAACTTTGAAAAAAAAAAGTATAAAGGGACATCTCCGAGTTTGCAGAAGTAGTGGTAATTTGCAATACTTTTCTAAGTTCACTACAGCATTCTGATTTCTAATAACACAGATGCAGCAATACCTTTAAATTCCTTGGTTAAAGAATATAATACTAAGATCATTTTCAAATCAATCAGATAGCTAAAGCATAATTAGTACATGATCGAAACAAAAACATTAAGAAACATAATCAAAACATGATATCAATAGTACCACATAAAATGAAGAGATCAATGAGCTTTTTTGACGAGCAAACTCTTTTACATAAGGACTATGAATTTTGGATTCAATGAAGATTGATATCCCCTTGGGTCAGTGAAAAAATATTATGACATGTAGCATGGAGAGAGGTGAACTTACAATCATATCTGGCAGAGGAATTTTTATTTTCGTCAACATTATTTCACAATTATATGCTCTACGCAGGTCAACCTGTCAGACATAGAAAAAAAGACAAACTTAATCCAAATGCCCATAGTAAGAATAAAAAAATTCAAAATTATATGCATAATTCTCAGTGATTCCTAAAGTTGAGACTCTACCAGCAGTTGCTCTTTTTAATTCATGGGACCAAGAGCTTACAAACCTGATGATTAATATCTAGAAATAAATGAAACTGGCAACACTTAATTCAATGCAAGTGATGCCATTTCTCGATAACCAGGCTCACCTGGAAGGTAACACATCATCAGAAATTCATTCAATTTCCTAATTACAATTTTCATCCTCCGATATTAATAGGATTCCAAGGTCAAAATTAATGTTTCAGCAAATGATTTTCAGCTTTGTTTAGGTCAAGATGGTAAAAAGAAAAATATACACACAAATATATGATTGTAGTATATTTTTTAATTCTCATGGTAGCATCAAATTTACACAAGGACAAACATAATGCAAAACAGGCTTTCTGGAGAGCCTAAAATCTAAATCCTCTCTAAGCAGTTTATAAAATTTGAGATATTTGCTTGAATGAGAACAAAGCATTTAAAAAAGCTGGTGGGCAATAATTGGCTATAGCATATCTGACTTTAATTTTATGATGCATAATTTTACTTCCCAGCCATTTTCTCATGTATACTACTTTTTTATTTCATCCATATTTTCAGGTAGACAATGGTCTTCCAAAAATTGTTCTTTTAATACTACTGTTTTTTTGTTTTTTTTTTTTTTTTTCCCCCCCTTAAGAAGTAGGATAAACAGATATCATTTGATTATATAATCTAGTATTAGTAATGAAAATTATGGAGGCAGGGATCAAGTTATACCTTATTTTCAAAAGAAATTATAAAAGAAAAGAAAAGAAGAAAGAAAAAAGATAGCATTACCAATTGCACTTTCTCAGGTTTATTGATGTTAGAACCACGTCGACCTCCAGCTTTGTTAGCGCCACTTGGATCTGAAGCCGCTGAGAATAGACTTTCGAGTTCTGTTATATCTATTTCAGGGGCCCTACCCAGAATTTTCAAGATTATCAGGTGACAACAGAAACATGTTCTTTTTAGCATCTAATAGAATTCATCAAAGAGGTGATGTATGATAAATATACCAGCTTTAACGCACCTTGACTGATTATCCTGTTTCTGAGAATCAGCCCATAAACTCCCTTGCATTGCTCGAGTAACTTTCACCCAATGTAAGGGCTTTAATGAAGTTTTCTTAGGGGCAATACCACCTCCACTGGCTAACCGACCTCTGCCAAGACTTGTTGGCCCTGAAGTCACTTTTCCCTTTCCAATAGATGGAGGCGGTGGAGGTGGCACTGTAGAGTTTTTTGGTCCAAGTGGTGCAGGAGGACTTGGCATCATGCCAGGAGTTGGTGGTGGAGGAGGAGGAGCAGTAGGAAGTTTGGGTGCTGGTGGTGGAGATGGTGGGATTGAACCTGACTTTGTAGGTCCTAAAGGAGGTGGAGGTGGAGGTGGCCTAGGGGCATTGCCAGGCTTACGACCTATTGTAGGGGGTGGTGGTGGAGGTGGTGTCGAAGGTATAGAACTAGAAGTAGACTTTAATGTTAGAAGCGGTGGTGGTGGTGGAGGTGGAGGTGGAGGTCGTACAGGGGTTGGTGGAGGCAGTGGTGTGTTACTAGCATTGCCCAAGGACGGAGGTGGAGGTGGAGGTGGAGGTGGAGGTGGAGGCGGAGGTGGAGGCGGTGGTGGCAAAGATGGTTGACTAGATATAAATGTAAGTGGGGTAGGTGGCAATGCTGGTGGGACAGCAGTAGAAGAATTGGGAGGAGGTGGTGGGGTTGATGGGACGGCTTTGGAAGAATTAAAAAGAAGAGGTGGTGGTGGTGGTGGGGGTGGGGGTGGTGGGAGGGCTTTAGAAGAATTATAAGGAGGAGGAGGTGGTGGTGGTGGTGGGGTTGGTGGGAGGGCTTTAGAAGAATTAAAAGGAGGTGGTGGTGGAGGTGGAGGTGCTAGTCCTTCACTAGTTGTTGAAGGCATTGTCAAAGAATCTTTACTAGATAAAATAGGTGGTGGAGGACCTTTTTTGTTAGTTGGAGGTAAATGTGGCATAGAATCTCTATTAGAAAGCACAGGTAGAGGAGGTGGTGACGGCACATTTGGTGGGAATCTACCAACATCATTCGAGTAAGGTGGGGGTAGTGGTGGTGGTGGTGGTGGTGGTGGTGGCGGCGGCGGCGGCGGCGGCGGAGGCGGTGGCGCTGCAGACATTGACAAGGGAATTCCTTCAGATATTAAAGGTGGCAGAGGTGGTGGGGCCGGTATGTAGGGAACAGGAGGAGGTGGGGATACTGATGGAGGGGAATAAGGTAAAGTTCCTTCAGTAGGAACTACTGATTGTGGATGAAGTGAAGGCAAAACAGTTTCAGCAGACACTTGACCTAGAGGTTCTGAAGTAACAATAACATCGTGTGCACCACCATTTTCAGAAGATAAGGTAACTAAATCAGCAGTATTTGATGGCAGTAATTTCTCTGCATCTGATGAGGGCTTAAGAAAAACATCAAATGCTTCATCCAAACTATCAGCCTCAGCCACGCAAGATGCAGTGCTTTCTTCTTCAGAATCCACTGGTGACGTATATGAACTTCCTCTATTTTGCAGCCTTGAAAGTTCTTTTGCATCACTTAAGACAGATAGTTGTTTAAGTAGCCACAGGGCAGCATCATCACTGTTATCAACCCACTCAACCTCACTGAAAAGTTCTTGAACCCTAGAGAAAGCTTCAATGGGTAATCCACCTTTCTCCTCTCCATTTAAAATTGTAGTTGGAGCCTTTGGAGGGGATATGCTCTCAACTTCCCCAAACAAAACCTGAAATTAAAAAGTTATTTTTGTTAGATGAAAGGATAGAGGGAAAAAAAGAGCAAAAAAACAAACAAAAGAACCAAAATCCTAAAATCTAGCTGAAAATTTTTAGGCTCCATCTTAATCTTGGGAAAGATGAGTGAAAAGAGAAGAAACTTCCATAATGACATAATATTCCCTTTTTTTTTTTTTTTTTTTTTTGGTAGAAAATTTGTCATTAGCCTTTTCCTTCTCCCATCTATCCAAGATACATAGGGAAGCTTAAAAATATATTCACCTCTGCACGAAAACCTTTTGGATACCGCTCCTTTGAATTCCAAAGAATGTCCAAGTTTTCAGAGTTCAGCATCAATATGTTGGATCGGATAAATGCAGTGTTAAACATTATACGAAACATCATAACTTCCCTTTCTGGATCCAAGTCCAAATGGACAAACTCCAATACAACATCTCCTTGCACCAAACACTGTATGTCTATTTTAATCACATCACAGTCAGCCTGCAGCAAGATAACATTCATGTCACTATGTCAGCACCAGTAAGCAAATAAAGGAGAAAAATACAAGTACAACAGCAAACCTCACACCTGGCGGTAATGACGAAGGCTCTTCTTCTTCTTGCCCATGGAGAAGAGCATTTGGGTTGAAAGACCACCCCTACTGTGGAGATTTCGACCAAAAATACGAATAAGTGGCCTGCATCCATTTTGCACATCGAAATTGGGAATGGCTCGAAGAATAACACAATCCAAAGAAAGTGCTCGCTCTGGAGGTGGCCATTCTGGAGTAATATTTCTTCTAGCTACATACTGAAGATAACGAAGCTGCGATGGAAACGGATTTAAAGGAGACAAAAGCTGCAAGAAACCTTTAGGAGCCTCTCGATGAACAATTTCAAGAGTCCTACGCTCTCCACTATGCAACTTTCTGAAAATCAAAAAACTAGCCAAAAGAAATGCCAATAGCGGCCAACCCCCTCTCTCACAATGCAGAAGAATAATATTCTGATTATTCCCCATCATAAGCCAACTCTCACAAACTCTAAGGAAATGTTGAATCAAAGACAACGGAAGGAGAGGGCAACCCTCATACTGTCGCGGATAGTCCATGACAGTAACATCATATTCACATAGTATTTCAGAAAACTGACTCCTCTTCTCACCCTCACGAAAATTAAACGCAAGAAACGACGAATCAGGAAACTCTTCATGCAACTCAGTTAAAATTTCATGCAGATATATTTGGTACATTCCAACGGGTAGAACTTCGGTGGAAAAACACGAATCAAAAACTGCAATAAAACAACAATCCACATATTATAACAAACTCTAACAAAATTATACACTACCCAAATCAAAAATCCACTCAACTCAATAGAAACAAACACTAACCATATACTCTGTCAACAAATTCAAGCAATCCATCAGGAGGTCTTCTGTAAAAGAATCTACTAAGGAGGGACATATCTGTCAATTCAATCACAAACTGCGTCTGGGTTCACAACAATGAGCTAAAACCTGGAGAAAAGGAAAATGCACAACTTGAATAATTCTTCAACTGAAAACGAAATTCAAAATTTAAACATTGTACAGCTTAGAGGCAGAGGAGCACGATTATTTATCTGGGTTTATTTCTTTTGTTAAGAATAAAAGAAAAAAATTCAGTTCAAATTCTAAACTTATTTCAGCATTGAAAGAGATGTTAAAAAAATCTATATATTGAATTTTGTGTTGGGTTTGATTGATAAAAGGCGAAACCTGACAGAGGACAAGTTGTGTATTGTGATGTCCGAAGGAGTTGGATTTGAAGGTGCCACCGCCACTTGCACTTGACCTTTCATTTTGAACTTTCAATTTTAGAACCAATCGGAAGAGAAGAGACATCAGACATGATTTTGCTGTTGCCGTCGAATGTTAAGTTTGGTTTTTTGTGTTCAATTTTTGGGCCCAAAAGTAACCGCGCTCAGGCCCATTAGGAGGTATTTGTCCATTTGAATTGGCCCAGTCCCATCTGACTACATTCTGGGCTTACAAGGCCAATTGGTATCCCAAAATCGCAACCATTTTATTTCTTTTGTTAACTTTAATGTCTAATATGCCCCCCACACGAACAAGACTAATCGATTTGCCAAAGCTGCGGAATGTAAAAAATGTATTGGTATGAGAACTCAACAAGAGACGGTGGATGAAGCAAAAATGAGAATGTCAGCTTTACTAACACACATAGGTAAGAATCAATGCTCGGAAACCCAAGGATTTCTCCATTAGGTTAGGTTAAATCAAAGTTTAATATCAAATCGAGTGATACAATCGATAGACAACAAATAAATATTATTGATTCCGAAAGATAAAGAAGGTTAGATTAATCGAAAGATGATTATTAATAAGGACAATCGAATTAACTTTGGAACTTAAATGGTTAGATTTATTGTATAATCTCATGGTTTAAGATGTATAAGAGTTTGATTAGTGGGTGATTGTATGTGTGTATTGTAGTGTTTCTTGAAAGAGCAAACGGCATGTTCTCACCCAATGTGTTAGCAAAATTCTAAGTTCCTACCCTTGGTTTCATAAATTTCAGATTCTCACCATTAAAATAACACTATTAATAATTGTTGGGTTCTAACACAGTTGCAAGACCCCTTAGGGTTTCACGCAATTATTGCACCTTTTCAACAAAATTTCAACAATCGGTAAAGTAATAGGTGTTGGGGTAAGAGTGGTTTTATAGTGTGAAGGCCCATGGTTTTAAATGGTAGTGATGGAGATAATTCTCTTCATCGGAATCAACCAAAATCGACTTAGAACAAAGAGACTGATGTTTTGCAATGGTTGGCAAACAATGGGAGTAATGGATATGAAATCATTGGGGTTTTGGCCTATGGAGGATGGGGATGCTAGTGGTGAAGGGCCAACGACCAGCCAAATCGGGCCTAACATGGTGACGCATGCGACTGTCTACAAAATGCAAAAATTGGCTAGAAAATCGATCAATAAGGCAAGGGGGCTAAACAAACAAACAGGGTAAGAGTGAAAATTTATGTCAATTTTGGAGTGAAAACCATTGGAAATCAACGTAAAAAAGCCGATGTTACTTGTTATTTCGTTAAACCTTGTGTGGGAACGTGTCATTTTCTCCTCAGTGGAGAAGCACTAGAGTTAAAAAAAGAAGAGTAATCATTTTACCGGAAAGCTTTGAATTCTCTTTTTCTACAATAATTGTACTGCACTGCACCTCTCAATTCTCATCCACTCGATTTCGAGAAATAATAATTCATTTAATTTGTGATATAAAATTAATTCTTAAATTTAAATTATATTTTATAGTTTTTAATTTATTTACCTGAATCACTTATTTTTTTCATTATTAACTTTAATATGTCAAAATAAAATATATCATATTAACATATAATTAAACATACATTATAATCTATATTTTTATCATGCAAAATTTAATAACACAAATATAAATATAATTCAAAAATGGTGTTTCTATAACAACAAGAGTTAAAATACATAGTCCTCTAAAATTTTACAAAATTTTAGATTTTTGAAATAACAAAAACCTATTTATCATAAGTTAGTATTATTACGAGATGGCGTGTATTTACTAAATTACCCTTTTTATCATTTATTTTGTTATCTAGGCTAGGTAAGTTATGATTCAAATTTAAGAATAATATAATAATTAACATCCAAATAATTATTTAAATCATTAGTTCTGTTATTTATGGTACATCGTATAATTACTTGGATAATTATTATTCTCTTGACTTCTCACCATAATTAACTCTAATCTGCACGCCTCCATAAATTCATACAACTTATCATTAAATAAATTAAGTACATGAAATAATTTGATTTTGATATGTGACTTCTTCTGATTAGGTTTTATGTCAATTTCCTTACAATTTCTTTATATAATATAGTCTTTTACTTATTTATGTGAAATCAAAAGAAATTCAATAAAAAGTATTTTAACAATAGAGAAAGAATTAAAGAACCTTTTTATATGAATATAAAATTTTATTTAAAAAGAGCACACTGCTGATAGAAACTTACCCCCAAAAAAAAAAAAAAAAAAAATCTCGAAAGTCGAAACCCAACAATTTTTTAGAATAATTTTTAATACCCTCTATGTTTTGGGATATTTATCATATACTCAGTTATTTTTTAAACAAACAAAAACACCCTTATTTTCATGTAATTAACAAAATGAAAATTAGACAGAATAGAAACATCCAAATTTGAAAGCTCTTTGTAGAATCCTAAATCTATCTATTGCCATAAAAAGAAAAAACAAGTTTTGTATTTAATCTATGTTGTAGCTATAACTTTTTATGTTAGTTCATATACATAATATAACACGTGTGTGTGTATGTGTATACAAAATTAATTAAATTTGAAATTGATCAAAAATGTAACTGAAATTATTGACACTAAATTAGATATCACATATCATCCTTAAACTAAATCATATCAAAGATTTCTTAAGTTATTTTTTAGAGCAAGGGTTATAGGTCTTGACATAAGTGTTACCATTGTGAAAACAAATAAATATTATTCTAAACCTATTTAGTTTCTAGCTTAAAAATAATATTCAAACTCAAGGTATAATCAGAAAAACATAGCCTTTTTCATATTTTAAAAGTAGTTGACATAATATTGAAAAGTTGTATAAAAAACTTAGTTATATAGGGTTACACTAAGATTTTTTACTTAGTTTTTCAAACAATTTTCTAATCGTTTACCTTTACTAATCTAGTCATGTTAAGAGATACTGAATTACCTTAAATAATTTTCATGAAATTTCTTGAATACTCTATTTTATATAAATTAAAACTCTAAAATTATCCCATTTAAATAATTTTCTTTTCTGTAAACATGCTCTAAAATTCGAAATATTGTAAATCTTAAACCATGGAAATTAAATATTTAAGTGGAAAAAGGGGCCAAAATGTAGTTATCCGAAACACAAGGGTTCGAAATATTCCCTTCCCCCTTGGGGTTGGCGAAACCAGTTTAACAAGTAACAGGTAAAAAAGTGAAGAAGCTTTTGAGATATAAAGTCTGCAACAACACTCTGTCAGTTGTCCGTCTCCTTTAAAGCAACACGACAATCTTCCAACCAAACCGAAAACAAACTAAAACAAACCCACTTCCCTAAATCCGAATCAAACCCACAAATCAAATTAAAAAATAATTCCAATTTTTTTTTTTTTTTTAGTGAATGGCTGCTCAAGAGCTCGAGCTGGAAGAAGAAGACCATGAAACGAAGAAACTTCTCTCTTCATACCTCGGCTTAAGTTTCTCTTTATTCTTAGCTTTATTTCCGCAGAAATCTCTCTTGCTGATACCCACTTTGGAATCTCAAGTGAGGGAGCTTTCGACGCGGCTGGTGACGGCGGACGAGCAGTTGAGGCAGATGAAGTCGCGGAGGAAGGAGGACTCGAAGGCGAATGCGAGGGTGGTGGAGATCTTTGCTACCCACAGGAACACGTGGCAGGCGGAGGAGAGGCGGCTGCTGCAACAGATCGACGCCGCGAATGAGGAGATGGCGAATTTGAGATCGAAGATTGAGGAAATGGAGAGGGAGAAGGCGGAATCGAAGAGGAGAGTAGAGGAACTTGAGGAGATGATTGGGTTTATGTCTAGAAGAGGAGGGTGCGAGTTTGAAGAAGAAGAGGATCAATTTGGTGGGTGTGGGAGTAGGGACTTTTACGGTGGGGATGATGGTCAGAATGGTAATTTTGGATTCACCTCTGAGTTTTTGGCTTCTGCTTCTAAGTTTTGGGCTGAGAAAGCTAGTCTCTGGCAGGTTAGAGCTCTGTTTCAGTCATAGTTTTTGTTATGGTTTATAGTTTGATGGTGTTCCAGCCAAGAAAAAATTTTAAAATTTAATTTTTACTTCTGGTATTTTCATAATTCATGCTCAAAATCAATAGGTTAATGTTCAATTCTAAATTTTAATTGTGTGTTTGGTTTCAAGAAAATGAGAGAATATAGCCTAATTTCGTGCATGTTCTTGACAAAAATGAGTCACAAGGAAGCTTAATTTGAATTGAAATGATTCAACTGAGATGATTGATGGATGTTTTGAGTCTCTGGTTAATAATTTTTGTGGTAGAATGCACAGAACAATTTCCCATTTATCTCATCCATTGTATTTCTAGAAATTTGCGGTTTGTCCTTACTTAGTAACGAGAAAATATGATCATATATTGAATTAGTTAATTTGGTGCCAGCTAGATTTTTGCGCCAGTTTCTTGCTTCTCATAATTTAAGTTCAGCATCGACTGGACCACCCTTATCTGTGGTTTCGTGACGAGGGTTCTGCTTATAATTGCTCAATTTGATAGTATTGTTGATGGGGTTGGACCACAGTGTGTCATTATCTGTAACAACCAGAACAAAATCTTTAATATGTATATGTTCAAATTTAAACATTAACTAGGTAAACAAGTATACAATAACCTGTATAATATTGCACTCATGGTAAAATACTGGCCCATTGTCGTCCCCTGCTCAAGCAAGTTGTTCTGTGAACATAAGGGATGGACTACATCATTTAGTTGACGTAGTGAATATAGTCAGAATGTTACTGAATTGAAACTGCTGTGTTTTCTTTACTATATAGGCAGCCGTTGGCTGTTTTAAAGTATCATTATAGAAATGTTTCTTTCTCCCATTATTCCCCTTTTTATTTTTTACCAAAGACCCTGTTTGTCTAGACATCGTATCTGTAAGGATGTGTAAATAGACTATTGAGTTGCTGCTGCTTGAACTTATTTTCTTTAAGATGATGAAGGGGCCTTTCGCCTTTAAACTTTGCAGCATCTGTCAGCATTTTATTTTCTGTGTTGCTTTTCTTTTAACACGGGAAAATAATCAACTCCTATCATGAGTAAAACAATTTAGATGAATTTGAGGTATAGAAAATGATTTGAATTGACAAATATTTCATTGATATTTTTATTTTGACCTGGACTGTATTGGGCCTATTGGCAGTCAATTGATTTGTAGTGAAGGTGTTTTCACTGTTTTGATTTCAAATCATTGTACTTGCAGGATGTACAGTATGAATCCCTTGAATCACTGTACCATATGAAGCATTTTGTAGCCAGGTAAATTTAACAGTAGAAACTAATTATTGTCTATGTAAAAATTCTTGCAAAACTGCATTAACCCAAAAAAAAAGCTACTTTTGTTTCCTTTCAGAAGGGAGTCGCCATGGAAGGTAGATGGTGAATCAACAGGAGTTTCCTCTAAACTAAAGTTACTTGAAGAGGAACTACTGAATATGGAAAAGATTGGAAAAAATGATCTAACAAAGGTGCCGTCAACAATGAGAAAGCAGGCTAAGAGATATCAAACTCTTGCTGGGAAGATAGATGATCTTTGCAGAAGAATGGTAAGATTTTTCTGCCTCTGATTATATTTAAAGGGCAATTGTGAGCATTCTCCTTCAACTTTAACTGCAACCATAGAAAACATGTTGCTTTGGTTGAGCATGATATGGAAGAGTTACCTCCAAAATAGGCTAGGTTGCTGCATAGTTTGAGCTTGGAACAATTCTTTCTCCCTCTCGCACACACACTCCTACAAAATCCGAATGTCTTATATTCATCTGTTTATGTTGATCTTGGTGATTAGAGACTTAATGATGTATGTTGCTCAAGTCTATTTACACCCTGGCATTTTGCAGCAGGCTAGTGATCCTTGCGAATCCACTGTCAGTCCAGAGTTTCGATCACAAAGGCAAACAGAATTTTTGCTTGAAGCATTTCGACTTCAGCAGCGTGCATCTGAAACTGCCCAGAAGCTTACTGCCTTACAAACTGAGATTGGGAAATCATACTATGATGACGATCTAGGCAGCCAACCCAAGTTAACCACAAGACGGTCCTTGGACTGCATTAGAAACAATTTGAAAGAAGTCCAGAGAAATTTGGAGATATGGTTGGCCAGAATTATCGGAGATCTTGAAGGCATTCTTGCCAGAGATGGCGCTTCTCGTGTAAGGGAATGCTACATTTCTAGATATCCTTTTGTTCAATAGAATCACAACAATGGTATTACCAAATCTTGATCTAACAACAAAAATCATTTCCTCTTGTGGTATATAGGCTGATCTAAAACCAGAAATATTAAGTAAGATGTCTAATATTAAGATGAAATCATTCTTCATTTATTATGGTGTCGACTGTAGACCGATCTATCAAGTTATCACATAAAAACAGCTCATTTGCAATACATGTATTGAAATCGGAGTAATATGGGAAACATAGTAAAGTGTTATATAAAATCTTTGCAAGAATCTTGAATCAATACAGGCAAGATTTGGTTTGATATCTTCAAATCAGAAAGATCAGACTTCATTTAGTAGCAGGAAACTGGGTTCATCCATTTGCTTCTAAATTCATCTTTTGCAAGATTGAAGAGTAGAATTCGACAGTAACATGTTATTAATAACTGCTTTTGATATTTTAGAGGTGTCACTGTCAACGTAAGCAATTGAGAGCCCATTATTTCCCGATTAATTAGGTTCAGGAAGTTGTTGGACTCCCCAACTGTGAATTGATTGATGTTCATGGTAGGCATTTGCTCATAAATGCCACTGGTGGAACCAATCACTCTCTATGTTTTATTACACTTATAATAAAAATAAGATGCAGAAGTTGTAAATAGATCAGAATTCCCTCGTTTTCTAAGCTTCTACATGAACAAACAAATACATCTTAACTATAAGTTTATTGAAACACCTCCTTTAAGGGTAAGAAGAGGATACTAATTTTAATCTTTGAATGTATGTATTATTTAGATTTAAAATTTATATAATAATTAAGAATCAAACCCACGTCAGCCTTCAAAAATATCGAAGATTAGGTGGTTGGGTGGAAGAAAAGTTAAAATGAAAACGACAAGAAAGTGTGAAAATACCAGAGGTTTGGTGAGTTTCCATGGAGATTTTGAGAATATAAATAGAAAATGATTTTAGTAATGTTGAAGATGTATTTTATGCTCCAAAATGCGTAATGCAAAAGATGTTATTTTATTTGTTGTTGTATGAAACTAGATCTGGATAAAGAAACCAAAAGTAATATTACCTACTATTAGTGTTAAGATCAGATCAATGACGATTTTAATTAGAAAAGTACTATACTTACTCACCATCTTACTAACCATCTTACTATCTTTGTAAATATAACGCATAGTACTGGTACTATACGTATAGTACTGGTACCATGTAAAATTTTAAGAAAGGTAGTAAAAAGGTTAGTACAAGTCGTGAGTAAGCAAAGTGTTTTTCTTTTAATTAAAAAACAGGTGTCATGATTCAATGGATGTACCAAAACCATCCCAATTAAACAAGAGTTGCAGAAAATCAGCTATATAGATATTAAGAGCTAAGACTCCAGCAGTCATGGATTCAATAACAAGGCCACCATAATCATATTTCCTTGGGAATTAACTGAAGTACATAATTTAGATGTAGTTCCGAAACAACTAATAGTTTTCCTGACTTATTATTTTCAACTTCTAAAACACAAGATTCAGGAGCCAAGAACACACAGAAATGTCAAGCAGAAGCACCAGCTTCCTCCAGCAACTGCTTTACTTTGGTAATGTAATCACTCATGGCTTCATCCTTGGATTTTGCTGCCAAAAAAAAGAATCACTTAAGTAGTTGCAACAACAAAAGTCACATGCAAATTCCTCCAACCTAATCATTTTGGAAAACAAAACCTATTGTCTAAAAACTATAAAATCAAAGTATCAAACTACCTTCAACAGCCTTCCATGCATCCCACTTCGCTCTGTCCCTCGGCTTGAACATTCCAGGCCGGCCTGCAAATCGGATTCAATTAAGAACAAGGAAGAGTGAAGAATATTTTCATAGATTGTAATCGCTTAAATGTGTATACGGCAGTAGGGTAATTACTGGTGTTCACTGGTCCAACAGTGGCTTGCTTGTAAAGTCCATAGAGAATAAGCTTGTTTTCGTTTGTGGTATTCTCCGGCAGGGTCTTAGCTTTCTCAGCATACTCCTCAAACTCTTCCTACAAAGCCCCAAACAGATTCACGGCTTGATTCCACCAACTTAACAATAAAATATTTTGTGAAAAGGCCAAAAAAAACAAATCAAATACACTACACAGAATCTGCAAACTTATGAAAGCTAAACTGGGGAAAAATGTAAGATCTCTACTTAGTGAGTAAAGGCGAGAGACCTAAACTCCAAATTTGAACAAAGCTTGACCTATACATTATCCTCAAACGGTTAGGACACACATTTAAAAGATACAGATAAAAAGAATTCGAAAATCAAATCAAACAAAAGAAACCCAGAAACAATTGACAAAATCTAGATTATAGAGTATTCTAATTTCTGAAACTTCAATACGCCACATGACATGACCAATTATTAAAGACTCGAGACATTGCTGCTCAAAAGAAAACAACTAAATGAATCGTGTTCCTGATAACTTTCGAGCCAAAAATCCCAATAGAGTATAGTTAACAGGAAAGAGCCAACTAATCTTAAGAACCCAGATCACGTTTAACCAGAAACGAATCAAACAATTTATAACTACGAACAAAACGCACACTAATAAAATAAAAAAAGGGGAATTCAGTTCGGCTATTTCTAAAACAAAACAGATCTAACAAAACAGAATAGAAATTTGACGTTTATTAAAGGCATGCAAAGAGAGTAATCAGACCTTCAAACCCATTGGGAAGTTGGTGTTGGGATGGCTTGTGTTCTATGTGTGATGAGGTTAAACTCAGAACGTAACGCCAATGGCTCTAGTTTGAGTGGTAGGTTGTTTAAATAAACAGAGAGGCTGAGTTGGAGTGTATTGATATTGTACATGTAGCCTTTATTGTTATTAGCTGGCCGATAATGGGCAGAAGTGGCCACCAAAATATATAATAATACTTGAAGAAAGAAAAGTAGTGATGAGAAATAAATTGCGTAAGAATAAAGTTGAGGAGAATCAAATATATGCTATTGCATAATTCAGAAGAATAAAAAAATATAGGATAAAATATTTTATCGGTCAACTTTGGTCAAACTCAAAATGAATCCTGAAATTGAACCGGTGTATTCTTTTCTTACTTCATTGTTTTGTTTGGGGAGAACGACCAAAACGACACTTTTTCACCCATTAAGTTTCAAAATGACACTTTACCACCTTCTGTCATGTTCTGTTAATGTTTTTCCTTCTAAAAAAGGACAATAGTGTCAATTTACATAAGCCACAAAAATTAAAAATTAAAAATTTGAAATCATGGTGAGTGTTGCTGAATGGTTGCCACGTTCCACTGAAGTTTGACTTTGAAAAAACAAAAAAGAGGGGAGAACGAAGAGTTGGTTGCCTTTTCTGCTTATTCTCTCGTAACTCTTCCTGCTCTCTAGATCTGAAGTTATTGGTGACCTAGGGTTTTTTGTCGTGCGATCACCACATCTCTTCATCATCCCCAATAAGGATACACCACATTGGCTTCTTTTCCATCTTTGGTCGAACTATTGACGACAAGGACGTAGCAAAGGCAACGGCTTTCTATTTTGGTGTCTTGTCGAGCTGAGATAGTTCCTGTGTTGTTGATTGATAATGGCAGTGGTTTGAATGCAGGAAAATTTCGGCGACCGGCAATTGGCGACTTAGGGATGACGACTAACAAAAAGCCAGTTGTGGGTTCTTCGTGTTCTGTGATACTGAAGCGATTAGGGACTCAAGGTTGGTGACTGATGACGACTGAGGAAAAAAAAGGTGAGAAAGCGGTGAGTGAGAGAAAAATACTGACGACGACAACAACTTGGGTAATTTTTTTCTGTCGTTTTTTTTTTTTTTTTTAGGTTAAGAAAAGTTGTGTTTTTTGTTTTGTTCTTGTCTTCTTTTAAACATGTGCTCTTTATGACCTGTTGTACCATTACATAATGGAATTACAAAAATGAAATTTTTTGTAAAACATCAATTTGGCAAAGTCAGATTACACTCTAATTTAAAGGAAGTCCTGTTGAATTTCATCTCATATCCTTCACTATAACAAACTTGCAGATTGATAAAGTGAAAACGATGTAGCTGCTTTAGGGATGAATAATTAGAAGGTTGGCTCTTGAATTGCTTTAGTTTTCAAGGACCAACATGCTGAGCTATAACTGTACCCAAAATTAAGAAGAATTAGTACTTGCTCCTTGAATAATAATAATGTATAAATATCAGTTGGCTTGCTGACTGATGTAAGTTTTTTGTTGTTGACCATTGAGAGAACCATATATCACCAAGATTTCATATGTTTATTCTTTCTTCTAATGCCCAACATGAGAGATCAAGATATTAATTTCAACTTTCTTATTGTAGGTTTTTTTTTTTTTTTTTCTTTAGTTTTGATTTAAAATGTTTTGGCATGTTGCTGGCATCTATTGATAATTTGTTAATTTGTTGTCAATGTAATTGTGATTGTAGAATCCCCATTATTGGAGGAAATGAGTTAGATTTGCAATGACCCTTTGTGGAGGTTACTTCTCGTGGTGGTTAAAGCTTTTATTTTGTTTCATCCTTCTTAATAAATCTGATGTTGATGTTTGCTCTTTGTTGTTTTGGTTGTGCACCTTGTTTTGCTCAATGAATTGTCCTTATTTAAAAGACATGGTCAACCACACTTTCTATGCAAATTCCTTGAAAGTAACTAAAATATTATAGAATGGTATATTTTTCTAAGTAGGGTATTGATTCCAACGATGATTTCAAATGTAGAGCTCATGTTAGAAAGATGGAAACATCATGAAGGTAAGATGATTGAAGTATCCCATGAATTTACGGTTTTGACAGCATAAATTATTTCCAGGACAGCTTTTGGAAGCAATTCTTACTTCTTAGAAGGAGAAAAAATATTTACTATGTTGACAAGGTTGGGTGTAACGTAATCAACGCCAGAAATAATTATAAAATTTAAACACCTGATTTGATAAGGCAAAGCGTCCTCTTCATAATTTCTATAATTTGTGACTATTTAGTTTTATACTTTTGCTTCTCTATTAATTCTACAATACCATTTGTTGTTTGGCAGAAAGCTTGTGGAAATCTGTTATGCCTGTATTGAATTCCCTATTTTTATTTGGTTTCAATTGACAAATTTCTTATAATTCTCTATTAATTTACAATCTGGATTCTTATTTTTCAGATATTAGTAATGTTTAAATTAACAAAATTCAAATATTTAAATATTAATGCCAATTTTAAGGGTTCTAAATTTTAAAAAATCCAGTGGTAACTTCATTTAAAACATTATTTTTAATAAAAAAAAATTAGAAGGACAAATTGATAATTTACATTCTCTTATAAGTTGAGGACATTGCAGTAATTTTATATTAACAGTGGATATATTGGTAATTGAATTGTTGACATGATATAAATAATAAAAAAATTATTAAGTTAAATATTAAGGATATTTTTGTCTTTTAAGTCAAATACTAACGGCAAACACTAATAGAACATAACAGAGGGTGAGCAAGTGTCATTTTAAAACTTGACGGGTGAAAAAGTATCGTTTTACTAAACCTTGGGTGGGACAATTCATTCTCCCTTTCGATTGTTGAGAAACTAAATTGAAGATTTGGTCATAAATTTCTAATTCAAATTCACCGTAAAAAAACCAACCAAATCACCGATCCATTCCTTCTGAAAAGATCTACTAAATTTATCAAGACATCATTTTGGAAAATAGGGTGTGGGCACATTTGCACATGTTGACGGTGGTGAAATACCTAACTTTAAGCATTGTCTTTTTGACATCAACGTGCTTTTGTAATGAATTGAGTTTCATAAATATGTAGACTCTGTATAATTATCAAAACAAAATCATACATCATATGTACGCTTTCGAAAGATTTGATCGAAAAGCAATTGATGTAATCTTTTTAACAGCTCTATAACCTAAAAGACCTGCCAATTACCTGACCACTACGTTACTTTCTGAGTGGTTAAATTACATTTTCAACATCAACAGAAAAACTAAAACTAGGGTTATAACCATGTCAACACTAACAATCAAATTTCAATCTCTCACAACCTTATTATTATCATTAAATAGGCTAAAGTTATTATTCCAACCAACAAATATCTTCTTCTTATCAAAAAACAAAAGATGAAAAAATATACAACAGCATCATAATCTGGACAAACGAAGCAATTCCTCAGAATTCATTTGGTAGAAAGCCCAAATGAAAACTGAAAATTAAATCTATCCGATAAGTTATCACTCTTTTTCGAATATTCCTTTCCAACCAAATAACCCAAAATACAAACAAATATTCATTCTTTTCCACAACCAACAACGCTATTCAATGAGAAAGGAATTGGTAGAGAACTGAACATCCAAACTCACTTTAGCTACGAACAAAGCATAGCACTTCAAGATCAAGGGACAACAAATAGACAATCAATACTCTTCCCTTGCCTCTTACACTATAAACACCAACATGGTGAAACACAAACATTTGAGCTTCTTCTTTGATTCCAATCACAAGAGTTAAATTCTTGCAGGAGAAACCATTGAAGCAAGAAATTCAAACTTACAATATAATTCTAACACTAGACTTACTAACCTTTTCAAATGGATTTATCCATCATCCTCTGCTGAATTCCAAAAGTTTTTGGGAAATTATGAATGCCATTTATGATTAATTCAATGCAATTAAACTAAACAAATAATGATTCTTATTCAAGGATACACTCCATGATACACATCTCAATTTCTAACATCATTTTCCCACACATAAAAGACAAAATAGCTAATGGTGCAATATACTTGACCCAATTACTGTAATGTCAAATCAATCACCTTCACACTGCTAAAATGGCAGAAGATTCAAAATATTCCTATGCCAATAAAAAGCAAACATCGAGTTGATCTCCAGTTACACTGACCTTACATTATATAATATGCATTGAATACCATAATTTGCAGAGGTTCAAACTAAAGGAGCCAAAAGAGTTTTTTGTACTTTAATAAAATTATCCAAATATAGATTGACAATACATAGGTTGTCAGAGATGACAAAAAAAGAAAAAAAATCATGTAAAGAATTTCATGCATCCAATGATCTCCTGACATCTATCTAACCATAAGAATTCTGTGATTGTAAAAGATATTGAACACAGAATATAGAGCGTGATCATGAATGTGCAGAAGATTTGTTTACATATTCACAAAAATTCCAAAAATTCATTTCATTTCAGTGTTGCATCATATAGTCAGCATTACTATTGTATCAGTAATTTAATAATTTCCAGCAAATATCCTCTAAGAATAAACGCCATTAGCTGATAAAACAAAGAACTCATAAACAAAACAAAGAAATTACCAAGCAAAGCTCTTCCCACAGAACAAATACTCAAATAGACAGATAACAGTGACAAGTACCATATTAAAATACAACAAAAAATTCATTTAAAATGAGATTAAATGTTTCAACAATATTCCTAGCACGAAAGAAATATATATCACCGTATGTGTTAACAGGAGGTACAGCTTGAAATACCTATTGATCAGAGGGCAAGCCCATCAAACAGGTCTTGCATCTGGTTGAAGCAAGAGAATCAATAGTCAATACTGCTTGGACTTCTAGTATACTCTGCAATCTGCTCTAGATTAACATTCAAATACTCTTCAGTATCCGCATAAAAAACAATGCCTGTATTTGTATCCATATCCTTATCGACTAAACTCCCATAGACACCTTTATGTTTTCCATACAAAACAAGAACCCCGCCTTTATTCCTCGGCAATGCAGTCTCAAGAAGATCCTGATCAACACCTTTTATCAATTCTCTACTGTCATCCATCAATACATTACATCTAGTCCCCGCCACATCGACCACCTCTCCCTTTTTCAAATACAATCTTCCCTTTTTAAACTCTTTGCTTATTATCTTTACTCTAATATGACGCCTAAGCCAAGAAACCCTCTCTTCATCACCACCAATGTCTCTCTTCACACTCTCTCTACTTCTTTTCTTGCTCCCATCATTACTACTGCCTCTCCTTTTACTTTCTCTACTACTTCTTTCACTCCCATTATTAATACTGCCTCTCTTTTCACTCTCTCTACTCTGCTTTTGGTTCCCATTTCTATTCACTCTATCTCTATCTTCACTCTCCTGACTTCGATGTTTGACCGGTTTATCCTTTCTATCGCCTCCATTTGAGTCAATACGTCTCTCTTCTTTCCTCTTGTCCTTACTACTCCTTAAACCAGCAATAGCATCGTCAGAAACAAAACTCTTCTTCTCAATTTGCTTAATTTGAACATTTCCCTTAGGGTTTTTACCAAGCCCTCTACCCTCATACCAACCCAATCCACCAAGCAACGAAGCACCAAAATCCTCAACCGGCATATCTTCATACTGCTCAAATCCCTCGTCCTCCGGCAATCCCTCCAAATCAAACTTCACATCCTTCGATTTCACCCTCTCTACAGGCTCAAACGCGGACACAGACTCAGCCGCTTTTTCCTCATCCTTATTGCCGCCGACACTCTTCCTCAAATTAAGACCGTACGTAATCTGATCGGCACCCTCAGCACCTTCAGTGGTGCTATGGAGCTCCAATTGAAGTTGATCGGAGGCTTCGTTGGGGAGGTCGATGTTCTCCATCTTCTTGTGCAGACGCGGTTCATTGGATTTGGGCGGGATTATGAGACTGGGTTTTGGCTTGGCGTTGGTTAGGGTTTTGTTTGGATCGAATTCGGTGACGAAGTGTTTGGTGGGTTGGACTTCATCTTGATCTTCATGTTGACGATGGACGGTTTTCGACTGTTTCCGGTTTGATTTTGATTGAACGGAGAACGAAACTTTAGTGGCGTTGGAACTCATTGAGAGAAAAAGAAGATACACAGCTTTCGAATTTCCCTCTATCTGTCTAATCCTCTTCGCTGTTTTACTACAATTTCACCAAAACCTCAGAACACGATTTAATGGTTGTCACGTTATCGCCCAGCAATTCATTTTCGAAAGGGTTTTCTTCTTCTATTTGTTCACTTAAGAATAAGTCCTTTTCACCCCCTATAGTTTCCGAAACTATTGAAACACCCCAACCTTTGGTCAGACACTGATAGTTGACTATTTATTGGTAATCCGGTCAAAAAGCAATAAAATTTTTTGCATAAAAAATACTCACCTAACAACTCTAATTATAAAATTGCTCCTCCAGGAAGATTAATTATTTGAATCTCTCTGTTTATGTTTTAATTTCTTTCTTTTTTTTTTTTTATCATGAACCGCTTTGCATACAAGTATATCAATACTAGTTCAAATTTTTATATGTTCTGAAATAGATTAATAAATAATCAATGAATGATAAAAAAAAAAAAAAAAAAATTGTGCAATGACATTAAATTATTAATCATAAAGATGGAATAGAAAAACAGTGAAGACGCATAATATAATGTTCCTATTTCAGAAAATTAACGAAAGGGGGCTATTTTGATCCAACCAGTAAAAGAAAATGAGAAGAAAAAACTCCTCCGGTTGTCACAATTAGGTACATATTTTTCTGGCTGTAACAGAACATAATCTATGCCAACTATGCCAAATGAAAGTATTTTAAAAGCTGGAAGTTACACTAAAAATAACTTAAAATCACAACATATATTTACATTCAGATGTTTCTGCCGGCATTGATGATTGTTCGTAGCGGTACCTTCAGGAATTTCACAAAACTTTTCCGAGTCTTTCACACTTCTTCATCATCGCTACTCTCAACGACGACAAGAGCCTTTTCAGTCTTCAGGCGCTTCTTAGCTCTAGTTTCACTTGTTTGTCCTTCTTTCGAAGCAGAGGCATCAGGCTGTTCGGCGTTGGCGCACTTATTGATTTCTTCAAGAATTCTCGTCCCATACTTATCTGTCTTCAACTTTCCTATTATCTTATCCAGCTGCAAGATACATTAGATGATGCATAGTTAAGATTTTGTTTATAATATAGATCTCTAAATTGAGAATTTTGTAGAAGTTTTCAACATCTTCTGAAGTGAAAGTAACTAAATAGAAAGATCCTCTTTCTCTCAGCATGCGCCTGTGCGAATATGTTTACGTGTAAGCATATGCATATATGCATGCATGTGTATATGAGGAGCGCACAATTTACACCTCACCACGAGTGAACTAATCACTAAAGACATATAGGTCTTCGGATTTGAGAAAGCCACAAAATCCAGCAGTTCATATTTACTAGTAAAGGTGATAGCGAACAAACAAGTCCTAGTGGTTTAAACATGCATCATAAAAGGGTTTGGTACTTCAAAATGATGCATCTTCAAAGGGACAATTGGCATGGTTGAAACTTGCCTCTTCCATCGAATTGGGTCTCTGAGCACTTATAATTCTGATCATTTGACTAGACAAGACAGAATGAGGAAGTATTCCTCCATCAGCAGCAGAAAGTTCCTTTCTTAGCTCATCAAGCTTAAGCTCCAAAGCAGATGAGCTGAAACTGCGTTTGGTTGATTTCTTTCCTCCATTTGTATTCTTCTGTCCGCCAGAAATCTCAAGTTTAATGATCTTCTTTCCTGTTAATTAGTTGTCAATCATAAAAGACTTGTAAAATATAGCACGTGAATATTTACGTCTGGATACGATTATAAATATTCTTATCTAATGAACAATATTAGCAAAGACAACTTTATGTTAATCAGGAAGGGAATGTCTAGTTCTGTTCAAGTTCTTAAAACACAATCGATTTACATGAAGGCCCTTTCATTTCATCTTGAGGATCACTTTTTGTACTCAACAAAGGCAGGTAACAGACCACTTTATTAGCACACTAACTCGCTCCTAATAGTGGTCAATCAGTATAAACAACAATTTTTCTAACAAATGAAAAATTTAGCTATGGAATCTTCCATGATGAATGTGATAATAATTCAACAATGTTGAAAAGGAATGAGCAGAAATGACCTAGACATAAAAGACAAATAACCTAAGATCAATATTCCTAAAGAACTTGAGTTTTCTAATTCTTGTGTCTTGAGTTAACTTTATATTGAGCATCCAAATCATCACGAACACACCGATTGAAGAAAGCAGTCTATAACAAGGAATATGAGAATATATCAAAGCGTTAGACAGCCGTATATAATCTAATTCTAGAAATCTCATGTTCAAGGTGTATAACCTGGCATCTTCATTGGAATAAAAGCATAATACCTAGCAACACTTGTTTTGCCAGTGGTCCTACTGTTACATAAGCATTCGTAGAATAAGCCGTATGCTGAAATTCTTCATTCTACGAAAAGAACAGATTTCCATTACAAACTGAAATTATAATACCATAAACATACTGAATACTGTTCTCTTTATCAAGCATGACATGAGAAAGGGAAAGTATCTTTAAAAATAATTATTTGAGCTTATGTCTTTAAAAGTTTGAAATGAAACATTCACACAATTCTGGTGTCGCACCTTCGATTTTAATGAACATAACAAAATAAAAGATGTTCCTACAGTTTTTTAACCCAGACAAGTAAGCGAGCACAAGCAAGCTCATATGAAAAGATTCCAGGTCTGAAGGGTCTGATTCTTACCAAAACACGATCTACAATAAGCTTTAACACAAGCTGTTCCATTTCCTCTTTCTTCAGGTCAGAACCTGCTATCACACGTCAGGGAAAGGAAGGGAAAAATGAAGGAAAGAAAGAAAAGTGTCATAACCAAAGTTAAATTCAAATAACATAAATGGTGATGCATCAACTCCAAGAAGTGCTTACATGATTAAAATAAAGCTGGACATAAAAGTATTTATATGAACAAAAAATACTATTATTACACAAATTTAAGAAACAATTAAGGATACTGTGGAAGACCCATAAAAGTTTATCTTACAACTCCTAACAACCAAAAAATTAGCCTAGAGGCCCTCTATAGCTTCAATGCAACACCCCATTTGCCAACCCAGAAAATTAATTAAAAATAGCCTATCTCATGTCTTTCTGTTGTTCATAAACATGAAAATTCTCATCATTCATCTCGGGCACAAAAACAAGCATAAAACCTACCTAGTTCCTTGTGCTTAGTTTTCATTTTGTCCACTAGTTGCAACAATGTCAATCTCTGATCATTCTCTTTCATGTCTTGCAGCAAAGAAACCATAAATTTTGCATGACCTGCAAAAAGTAGGCATATTATGCATAGATAAAGCAATTCTACATTTGCCTTCTAACATGCTAGTTAGATATCAATTTTATAATAACAAAAAGAAATGGAGTAAGCCTGTAACAACAAGAAAGTTTCAGCTGAAAGCATAGGGCATACAACAGATTTAAAAATTTTTAGACAACTAATTATTAAGAGTTGGAAATTATTTTGGCTAGAAGCAGCTCATTGACTATGAACAAAATTGTTTCTCCATGGTGTATGACATGGTGAGAGAAACAAGGGCCACCTCGTAGGGAAATGGTGCTAACCAATTTTAATACAAATTGCTATCAGGGAGAAAGACAATTTAATCCTTTAAGGGTAGCACCGAGTCCCACATTTGGCAGCAGGCATATATGAGATACCTGGCAATGCCATCCATATATCACAGACAAGCTTAGGTAGTTAACCCTCCCTATAGTTAGTTACTCAATTCTTCAAGAAGTGCATTGAGTTGCAGAGTGCTTTATGGCCTCCATAAGCTCACGATCTCCCCCTAACACCAATCTGGGAGTCTGGGACTCAAACCCATTAACTCGCTTTAATACTACTTGCTGAGAAAGGACACTAACCAACTACTGTAAATTTAAGTTGATAGAGATAAGCGGCAGAACTTAATCCTTTAAGGTAACTCACAACCATGTACTAAATTGACCCACCCTACCCCATGGCACTATTTAGTGCACTTCCTGTTGTAATATTTGATCATTTTACCAAATCCAGCCTCAAGTTTGAAGTGTGTCAAACACCTGCCTTGGAGCATTTAATACAGTACCCTGGATTTGTAGTGTACTATCCTGCGTAGTAAACATGCCATAAGAGATTTTATCTCTCAAGGACAAACATGACATAAGAGATATTATTTCTCAGGACAGAAATGGAGTTCCAAAGAAGTACCCAGTCACTAAGGCAGAAAGTTAAGATATACTTCAGGGGCAAAGTAGGAAGTTTAAAACCATAGGTAGAAACCACACTCAACTTTTAAATAAAACCAGAAAACATATATCTGTATAACACAATAGACAAGGAAACATACGAGATACATCCACTTCTTTAACCTCACTTGAGAATGCACAGTTGTCACACATCCCTAATAAAACACAAAGTTAACATTATATTATTCAAAATAAGTATCAAAAAAATGGAACAAGTCACCAGAATTTTAATGAAAAAAAATAATACCATTGCAGTCCCGTAATGGCTCAGCAAAATGCCGAAAAAAAGTACTTCGTCGACATTGCTTTTTGGACTGGTACAAGAATACAAATTAATTAATTTCTAGACATGAAATATTTCCAGGTCTAACATTCAAAAATGATGAACAATAGCTCATGCTCTCCTCATTGGTTGATAGCAATACCATAGCAAAATAAAAAATTAAAAAGGTAAAAACGGTTGTACCTGACAATACCGTACAATGTCATAGAGATTCTGCAATCCAGAATTCTCATAGAAGACCATTGAACTCTGCCCAAAGAAGTGTCACAATTTACAAATATGGGAAGAATTGAGAAAATATAACATATGTTTGGAATGCCAAACTATATAGTACCTGCCTAGGAACGTCAGCAGGCCTAAAAAAGAGTAGGCACTCAGAAGGAAGTCCATCTCGTCCAGCACGACCACTTTCCTGCAGCAAAATCAGTTACAGAAAGAAGAATAAATAAGAAAAAAGAAAAAAAAGAAATTGCTTACTGGGGAAAGATTAAGAACCTGATAATATGTTTCCACTGATTTACTCAGACTGTGATGGATGACAAACCTGACTACAAGCAACTACTTATATTAAATATAAGAACATGTATAAAAGTATACATTTGATATGCAAGACTT